ACCAATTTCCCCAAATCTGTGGCGGAAGATGTAAGAGGCGGGGCCTCTCATATGACGCACATCTGCACACTTGCTAGCCTGTTCCACTCTTTGTTTTCCGAATGTCAGGAAGTATTCTTGACTCGCTTCTGAAGCAAGATGCTCGGCAGACATGTGCTACCAAGCAAGCGTACTCGACATTGAGAAACACCCCTTGTCTCCTCTCCAAATATGTGTCCTTGGCTGCTTCTCAGGTCGATTAAATGGAATCCTTGCGTCCCTCACTTGCGTTGTTTCCCTGCGTTTAGTCCCTCCCACCAGGAAGCATGGAGAGACGCAAGGAAACCACGAGAAGCAGGGAAATGAGTTTTAAGAGCAATGGGACGTCCTTTCCTCCGGAGCGTCACGTGAAGCGACGTCCGTTTGTGATGACACTGCACAGCTGATCGTCTGACAGCAGCTCTGTCCCCGTTGTTTTCACAAACACCCCCGCCTCTGTTAGTACACATTTACTGACACAAACATGTGTATCATCTGTTGTAGACCCAAATACATTAAATAAAATAAGAACTCATTCTCAAAAAAGATAAACGCCATTCTTAAAATGTATAAACGAAAAAGCGATCATGAAAATGTTTCCAACAAATGAATAAAATGATTTGACCACTTTGTTGTTCAGATATATCACATATTTGTAACTGAATGATGCATTCATTGAAACAGAACCCAGTATGAACTGAGGAGTGAGTCCCGTGAGTTTCATGTGTTTTCTTCACTCCGCTGGGAAACTGCTCTCATGTCAAGAAGCATCAGATCAGTGCATGCGCTGCATCGTCCAATCAGTGAGCGATACACAGTAAGGGGGCGGGGCGAGTGTCTGAGGGTTTCACCGGAGGATGGTCTGGTGGTTCCTCGGTTATCGCTCCTCCATTATCGCTCCTCGCTCCTCGCTCCTCGATCCTCTGGCAGAAATAAGCGCCATGGGACGCTACTCAAGATGGCGCAGACAAATCAACTTCCGGTGAGACCGAGGACCGAGGAGCGAGGAAATGAAAACAGCCGACCTGAGACGCAGCCCTCGTTGATAATGCACATGGTGCTGCTGTGATGCAGGACACATGTCTTATCCTATAAAAACTCAGAACAACATGAATCCTGCAGAGACGTTAATATCCGTTTGTTTCCACACGATTAAACTATTCAGAGAACAAGACGGGATGTAAACATTCAGTTAAGATAGAATATCGTATGGAAATATTAAAGAGAGTATGATCCATGGAGAGAAATAAGGATTTATCTCCTCCAGTGTTTCTGTGAACATGCGTCACTGCAGAGACTCCAGAAACAAACAAAGAAACAGACATGTGTTATCCCAGATGTGTGTGTGTGTGTGTGTGTGTGTGTGTGTGTGTGTGTGTGTGTGTGTGTGTGTGTGTGTGTGTGTGTGTGTGTGTGTGTGTGTGTGTGTGTGTGTGTGTGTGTGTGTGTGTTATTGATAATGGCTTTGCACTCGTATAACCCTGTTACTAAGATTATATATTTTTGGATCTATTCTTTTTATGAATCCCCAGAGCCTGTGAACAGACCTTTGTGAAATCAGTGATTATAGAACAAGGAGCCAGGGGCGCCGTAAGGGGGTGAAAAGTTAGGACGATTCTAAGGGCCCGTGACTGACAGGGGCCCAAACAATTTTAGAACATTAAGAAAAAAATGTTTAAGTAACCAATGTGATATATTTTCATGGGGCCCAAAATCCCTGGCGGCGCCGCTCAGTCCCCGAAACATCAGATTAGTGAAGGGAGGAAAGGTCACTTGGAAAACAATAAGAAAGTGTGTGTGTGTGTGTGTGCGTGTGCGTGTGCGTGTGTCATAGATTCAGCTGAGTCAGGCTTATTAACTCAAAGTGCACGCAGAGACACAAAAACATTATTTTAAACAGAAAAAAATGAAAAAATGAATAAATAAACATATAAAAAAAAATATGATAAAATAATGCAAAAATCAAATAAAGGGAAAAAATAATAATACCAAAATGAAATGAAACTAAATAATATAAAATCTAAATCCAGATGAAAAGATAAAGTAAGCAGTGAATGAAGCAGGTACCTGAGAACAGGTCGGCCACGGCCAGGTTCCCCAGCAGGTAGTAGATGGGGAAGTGGAAGCGGCGGTTCTTAAAGATGGCCGCCATCACCAGCAGGTTGGAGAAGATGACGATGAAACACACCATCATGCCGAGCGTCACGATCACGTAGTCACGGTCACGCCAGTGGGTGCTGATGTTCTTCCCGCTCGCCTCGTAGAAGAACCTCACGCTTTGGTTGTAGTAACAGCCGGGCGTGTCGTCCGTATCCGTATCCATGGTTACTGCGAGGGAGGGGGGCAGGAAGTAGAGCAGGGGAGGGGAGGAGTCAGAGGAGGGGTCAGGGGAAGGGGAGGAGTCAGATGAGGGGGAGGAGTCAGATGCGCCCACTGCGAGGGGGGGGGGATCGGGGGGCCATCAGAGAGGGGGGGCGTCAACCTGCAGGGTGACAAAATAGAGTACATTTTTTTTTAATAATAATACAAAATGTTTTTAAAATAAAATGATAATACTTAATATACTTAGATATCAATGTAGAGAGGTACAGTAATGAGTCCTAAACCCTGACATGAGTCAGCATTATGAGTCCTAAACCCTGACATGAGTCAGCATTATGAGTCCTAAACCCTGACATGAGTCAGCATTATGAGTCCTAAACCCTGACATGAGTCAGCATTATGAGTCCTAAACCCTGACATGAGTCAGCATTATGAGTCCTGAACCATGAGTCAGCATTATGAGTCCTGAACCATGACATGAGTCAGCATTATGAGTCCTAAACCCTGGCATGAGTCAGCATTTTAGCATGACGGTTTCGCTAGTCACAAAGTCAATGGTTTTCTGGATGTGTTTTTGGTTCATGTCAGTTGAATCCAGATGCAGGTGAAATCATGCGCCTTAATGGAAACATGTGAAAAGCTACAGGAGGATTGGGAACAGACAATAACACATTCAGTCTCTGACATGTTTGCTAAGTGTTGCTTTAAGCGCTTTTTAACAACAGACAAATACATTTTTCCCATTCCACCCTACAGCTGGTACATTTAAGGTTGCGCTTGTAACCCTTATCCCTAGTTTCACAGCTCAGGCAGTCTGTTTAGCATATTTACTACGTTACACATTAAAGGGGACCTATCATGCAAGATGCACTTGTGTACGTCTTTTCTACATGAATATGTGTCCCCGGTGTTCCAGGGAACTCACCAAGTGTCAGAAAACACAACCCTCTCTATTTTCCTCCATACCCAAATCTCTAAAAAAGGGGCTGCAACGGATCTGATAAAAACTGATCCAGATTTGAACACTGTCCTGACGTCAGGACGGTGGCGCTACGGCTATTGGGCCAACTCCACCAATCAGGAGGAGACAGCCACGGCCATTGCCGTTCGAAAGCGCTGGAGACGCTGTAGTACATATGCCAGGCCTCTAGATGATGCTGTTGCTCACTGAATCAACTTCTTACTATGGAGGAGTGGATTGAGCAGAGCCTATCTCCAGAACAAAAAGCACCTAAACGACGACATGTAGAGCGACGTGAAGAGCAGGTAGACCAACTGGAAAAGTATCACCATTCAAAAGCTTTCTGATGCGGGTCTTGAAACAAAGCAGAGAAATGATGACCGTTAGTGGCCACAGGTGAGAAAGCTCTCTCCAGAGCTACTGGAAGCCCAATCTCAGGGACCGGAGAAAGTGGAGCAATATTCTCTCCACGCCAAGCAACAGCCTGGAACAACCTCAGCCTATACAAGTAACCACGTAAGCCATGCTACTGATGCTGGACAGGTTTTCAGTGGCTGCACAATAAACAGCAACATACACATTAATGTAAATAAATAGCCAAATAATGGATCAACGCTCTCTGTCTAATATGTTCGCTAGCTGTTAGTGTTGTTGCATAGCAACCACCTCGCACTATGTTTCGTGCAGAAGGCAACAGAGGGACTATTTTATTTTGAACATCATTATTTACTAATAAAAACTATTTAAATTAGAGTGTGTATTTTTCTTTCATATTGCCACACTTGGTAACCGTTTTATAAAAGCAATAGCTCACTTCAGGCCGTGATATATGCTCAGTATATCACAGCTAAGGGGCGTGGTTCGGCCCGACGCGAAGCGGAGGGTCGACAACCCCCTTAGCTGTGATATAATGAGCATATATCACGGCCTGAAGTGAGCTATTGCATATATATATGTGTGTGTGTGTATATATATATATATATACACACACACACACACACACATATATATATATACACAGAAAGAAAAAGCCTGATAAATGTGGAATTAAATATGAGAAACATATATATATATATTCACTGTTCGAAATGGGGGGGAGCCAGGGGGAGCTTGACTCCCCTAAAGAGGGGGGGAGCCCAAATTTGTGTCACACAGACTAGAAATGTTGAGTTTCTGTAAATAAAAGTTCTTGAAAAGCTTTTGGATTCACAAGCAAAGAAGCGAAGGAGTCTAAAAATGACAACGGGAACGGAACAACTTTTAGTGGGTCGGCTGTAAGCGGCGTTAGGGTGGAGTTTGACAGCTCCACACGAGGGCCCTGACAAAAACAAATAGGGCTCCCCGAAAGCAAATGGGTCATTCGAACACTGCATATATTAATGCAGAAATGTTCCTCATGGAGCTGACATTCAGGAGATTGAAGAACCAGAATATCTAGATTAGCATCAGTAGCATGTTAGCATCAGCAGCATGTTAGCATCAGCAGCATGTTAGCATCAGCAGCATGTTAGCATCAGCAGCATGTTAGCATCAGCAGCATGTTAGCATCAGCAGCATGTTAGCATCAGTAGCATGTTAGCATCAGTAGCATGTTAGCATCAGCAGCATGTTAGCATCAGCAGCATGTTAGCATCAGTAGCATGTTAGCATCAGCAGCATGTTAGCATCAGTAGCATGTTAGCATCAGGAACATCATGAATGAAACAGCTCAAGGTCCACACAAGATAAAATCCTCATATTTACGGTAAACCTGAACTCAGCATTTAAGGACACACACACACACACAACAATGGAGACAGAGACACACCTCACAATTACACAATCAGCTATGTAACTCAATCTCTGCGCACACACACACACACACACCCTCTGTGTGTGTGTGTGTGTGTGCAGAGAGATGCCAAATCAAAAACAGAAAAATGTGAGAGACTCGAGAACAACACAAAGGAGACAACTGCAGGAAAAGAGTTTGACTGGAGGCGTGTATGTATATGCGTGTGTGTAGGCGTGTGTGTATGTGTAGGCGTGTGTGTATGTATATGCGTGTGTGTGTAGGCGTGTGAGTATGTGTGTGTTTAGAGAGGAAGTGAGAACATTTTCTCCCATTTCCCTCAAAGGCCTCCGTCGAGGCACGAGCCGTCAATCAACACTGAGCTGAACTACAACACACACACACACACACACACACACACACACACACACACACACACACACACACACACACACACACACACACACACACACACACACACACACACACACACACACACACACACACACACACACACACACACACACACACACACACACACACACCACACACACACACACACACACACCACACACACACACACACACACACACCACACACACACCACACACCACACACACACACACACACACACACACACACACACACACACACACACACACACACACACACACACACACACACACACACACCACACACACACACACACACACACACACACACACACACACACACACACACTCTTATTGTTTTCCAAGTGACCTTTCCTCTCCTCAAACTGATTTCCTTCCTTCACTAATCGGATGTTTCGGGACTGATCGGCTCCTTGTTCTATATTCATCAGTGATTTCACAAAGGTCTGTTCACAGGCTCTGGGGATCCATAAAAAGAATAGATCCAAACATATATCATCTTAGCAACAGGGTTATACGAGTGCAAAGCCATTATCAATAAGAGCTGTGTTCAAAAAATGCAGCTTCTGATTTAAATAACATTTATACCACTTTTTAATCAATGAAAAGTTTGCGTTCAGATGCTTTAGAGAATGTTCACTGGTTGTATTCATGGGCAAAACAACCAGTGTAGATATCATCCCATAAGCTCAGACAATGTGCTTAAGAATAAGGAACCAAATGGAATCACTTTACCCGACATTTGCTTCCCATTAAATTGGGATTTATGACACATTGATGTGGGTTATTGGTTGTTGTGAAAGTTTTTAGTAAACATCCTTTTGAGAAAAACAAACGAAACATCTTGAAAATGTACCAAAATGTCCAGCAGCATGAATAAAGGGTTACGGATGAAGGACTGAATAATAAAAGTCTGTCTGTCTTACGCGACTACTCCTGTATTTTTCCATGTTATGGGCATACTCACGGGTTCCCCACCATGTTATGGGAACAATAGCATGCTTATATCAAAGCAGGTGAATATAAATCTGTACAAAGTTCACCAAATAAGCAGCTGTGTCCAAACTGTTCCTCTTTCAGCAGATTAAAGAAGTCTTTATCAGTTTGAAGGACGCATGGAGTACGCACACTCGCTCTGTGAGCTTTGACAAATACTCTGAGTGTTTGCAGCAACAACAGCTCGTCCTTGGTGTGTGTTGTAACAACAGATCCACACACACACACACACACAGCTGTTTGCAGGTAAACACACCTGAGCCTGACCTGCAGCACAGAGGCTAGCTGGTTAGCATTTAGCGCTGGAGGAGAAACAAACCGAGCTAAAAGACGAGTAAAACAAAGCTTTAAAATAGACTTTTCTTGCAGAAAGAGACAGACCGATCACTCTCTAGTGTGTGAGAGATAGACCGATCACTCTCTAGTGTGTGAGAGAACTGATCACTCTCTAGTGTGTGAGAGATAGACCGATCACTCTCTAGTGTGTGAGAGAACTGATCACTCTCTAGTGTGTGAGAGATAGACCGATCACTCTCTAGTGTGTGAGAGATAGACCGATCACTCTCTAGTGTGTGAGAGATAGACCGATCACTCTCTAGTGTGTGAGAGATAGACCGATCACTCTCTAGTGTGTGAGAGATAGACCGATAACTCTCTAGTGTGTGAGAGATAGACCGATCACTCTCTAGTGTGTGAGAGATAGACCGATCACTCTCTAGTGTGTGAGAGATAGACCGATCACTCTCTAGTGTGTGAGAGAACTGATCACTCTCTAGTGTGTGAGAGATAGACTGATCACTCTCTAGTGTGTGAGAGATGGACTGATCACTCTCTAGTGTGTGAGAGAACTGATCACTCTCTAGTGTGTGAGAGATAGACCGATCACTCTCTAGTGTGTGAGAGATAGACTGATCACTCTCTAGTGTGTGAGAGATAGACCGATCACTCTCTAGTGTGTGAGAGAACTGATCACTCTCTAGTGTATGAGAGAACTGATCACTCTCTCGTGTATGAGAGAT